CAACTCGTCCAAGAAGTGGGAAACCTTGGTTCAATTTTCTCTTCAACTTGACAAGATACAAACCCACAACAAGCAGTACCCAGGATAATCCCCTAGCCATCAAGCTAAAGTTGTGCCACTGTTAGAAAAGAATGCAGGATTCATGGGGCCAGAAAGATGGAGCTGGTGCGGGAGCATGATTGTAGCCAAATGCTATATTAATTATGTACTTTGTCCAAAGACTGTTGAATAGAATATAGAGAAACAGTCCTGGAAGCAAGGACTAGAACCTGGCACCAACTCCTCCATAGTGCTCTAACCTGGAAGTCAAACACCACAGTTCCTCTTGCACTCTCCCTCTTTTTGGCCTAAGGAATCTTGTATTCTTTGCTGCACAGTGACATAGCTTCAACAGGAGGGGTAGAGGCTGCCACAACCCAAAATAATCTATAATGTGGTGGTAAAGAACATCCTCCTGGAAGCTGCAATGTGAGTTTGAACTCCTCAGTTTGAAAAAGGAAGTAAGTCCAGGTCTTACACTTTGTGGATAAGTCTTCTAACCCACAGGTTACTATATAAAAGCAGGGAATCACTGTGACGTTTTACAAGAAATTAGTAGTTGCACCTTGTAGGGAGTCCACAATGGGTACATATTAACTATGGCCTGAGAATGGAAATCTGATTACGCCTTTCAGGAGACATAGGCAGAGGAACATCTAATTTTTGGATCCTAATTTGCTTTAGTCAGGATACAGGTGCTAAATTGCGGAGACTGGGGCAGTTTCAAGCTTGTAGAGAGGCAGAACTTTATACACCTGAAAAAATGTTACCGTAAGTTTGGGAAGTGTCTGGTGACACTAGGCACATCCAGAGTTAGATAACAGTTGGACAGGAGGCTTATAGGCTGGACCTAGCCTAAATTCCACCTGGAACTTTTTTTTTTTTTTTTTTTTGTATCTAAGCCTTTGTGCCCAAGAAGCACCTAGCTTTGGAAAGATGCACCTAGTGTCCATCAGTCCCACAATATAGGGGACAAATACAAATAATATATTAAGTTAGCCTGGCAAATATTCCCCCAGATACTAACACTAAGAGCAGGTCATGAATGCAGCAGAGAGATCAGTGTGAGTTACAGGTATGAATCAATTCACAAAGAAAAAATAACAGATATTGGAAGTCATACCAGATAGGAAACTCCTCTACTTTGTAAAATTAAGTAGGCATAATATGCTAATTACCTCATGTATAGTGTTGCATTGACATGGCTACACAGCTTCCAGTTCAGGTGGTAAGACAGCCCAACACTGAGTAATGTTCTTGAGGATGTCATTCTGGAACATAGTAAATTCATCACATATACCTTACCATAACATTTTAAGGGTTGATTTCAGTGGGCCAGTCATAGTCAAATATCAGATAAGCTGCCTGTGAAATATTGATTTGCTTGTGCAAAATAGCATGGGTCTTGCCACCAAGATTTCTAAAGCTGGAGAACTAAGGTAAAACAGTCTTTTTTCCCCTCCAGCCAAACACACTAGTAGCAGCAGTGAGGGCAAGGGGTAACAACTGCAAATAGGCAGGGACTATACACTTTGCATTTTATTTTGCAACTGTGAAAACATTTTTGATCACTGATCTCATTTCTGGAATGGTTGACATAGTTTTGTGAGTCTAGAGAAACATAAAGCTGCTTCCTGTCTATATGTTTTTGTAGCATTAACATATACCATGCATATATGTATTTCTGATGCAGAGGGACTATTTATTTAATGTATGAGGCACAAACTTATATTACTACATGTTAATTCTGTACAGGCTTTATTTCCAGAATCCCCAAGCTCCTGAAACCCATTCCTTGTTGGGAAAGGAGATAACAAGGAACATGTTATACATCTGGAACAAGATTCTCCTGTTTTTTGTGTGTGCCTTCACTGACCATACATTTCAGGCAGGTTTATTCTGAATCCACAGTACAGTAATGAAAGCATCGGAGATTATTCACTCTAGAAGTACACACAGTAGATCAGACTAACTAGGTTTCCACTGTAGCTGCACCATCCCTGGGAGAAACAATCTGTTCCAGTGTCAACAATATCCTGGAATCATATATTTGCTGCACCACCAAGTAGCAACAATGCGGGAGGATGCAGAATGGAGTGGAACAGAGCTCCAGATACAGTCTCCTAACACCACTGTGATAACTGGTAGCCCCTACAATACATGGAAGCAGCTGTCCTTCTTCTTCCTTCAGTACAGGAACATCTTCAATCTCTGGACTTTGCCCAGGCATAGAAACAAGAGGAATTTTTTAACCCTTTATACACTCTTCAAAGATCAAGAAAAATGTTACCTATAATATTTTGGACAATAGACCAATGGAAAATGTTGGTGCCTTCACACATGGATGTAGAGATTCTATTACTTTCTATGACACTGCGCTCAGTGCATTTATGACAGGAAAACATGAGAATTCATTTTGGTTTTGGGGAGAGGGAGGATTGCACCAGGAGACGATGCTGCCAGAACAGAAGCAAGAGCTTACTCTTCAATTATCTGACTGGCCTGGAAGAAGGGAAGTGTATGAGAGATACAGCATAAGTTACCAAGAAAAGCAAGGAACCAAAAGAGAGAAAATGACCAACAGTTTATTTGACATTGCTCAATTAGTCCATCTACCTCAGAGGTGGGAACTATTTTAGCTGGAGGGCCACTTAATGAGTTTTGGTGGGCAGTCAAGGGCCACTAGGGTAGCTCTGCCCCTTGACAGGTCTCTTGACCTCTGGTTGCCATATTGGAACTATAAGTCCCAATCCTAACCCCTGACCTTTGCCATCCCAACAGGAGTCCCTCCCCTTGCCTCCAGAAGCAATCCATTGGGGGGTGCCATCTTGGAACTGGAAAAAAAACAAATCATATACTAACAGTCAAACATCTGCTATAACATTTTTATTTTATTTCAAAAAATATTTTTGTCCTGATTTGCATGTGTTTGCACAGTGTACATAGAGGCAAGTGCATTATAGCTCAAAATAAAGTCTTACTCTTCTATATTGTAGGTGGGGGAGTGTGTCAGGTGTGGATGGGTAGGTGTGGCATATGTAGGGAGTGTGGGGGTGGGTGTGGAG